GCATGAAATCTCCAGAAGCACAATGATACGATTTAAAACATTTGTTGACTCGGCAGCACTTTACCTGTGTATTGACTTTGTGCTGTTTCTCTTCGAAGTTAGAAAGAACTGATCACTGACGATGAATAAAATGCGCCATTCTCCATTTCCTTGGGAAACTTTTTCTTTGCAAATGAAAGCAGCAACTCAAATGTTCTTTGTACAAATACATCGACTATCCGCGAAAAAAGTCACGAGAAGGTTTATGCATCAATTAATTGTTTTTCTTCCTATGATGATGAGTCATGAAGCACAAAAAACATTGTGTTTCATTGTCGAAGGATGCCGAGAGAGTCCAGGCTATTCGGTTCAACCGTGCCAAATATATTAAATACTCTGTGTACACCCCCTGATTGATTATTAATCAAATAGCTCAACATTTCTTTTCATCTGATAAACAATGTCATTTTCAAAGAAATTCTATTCTAAGCAATCACATCGACATAGAATTATGTAAATAATAACAGTCATTACTCAGTAGTCGAACTAACAGAGTCCATAGATGATAATTAGTCGATTCGCTTGAATAAATGTTTGCGAAGCAGTTCGAGTGATAATCGAAGACCAGTATTTTGAAGCTCTTCTAAACTTCAAATTAAGCTGAGCAAAGTGTCAAAACTATCATAGATCCGCTAATGTAAGACTTCATTTTCATTACATTATTCTAAAGGGTGTGAGTGTGAATATGAGTATAGCTATTCGAAAGAATTTGGATATCGAAGATATTCTACATATCGATATCAGAAAACTAATCTATAATCGGCCCACCTGAAAAAACATAATAATGAATGATCTGCTTTTGTTATTTTTATTCAATATCTTTAAACGAGTGAAAATGTTTCGTTATGATCCCAAAGCTAAGTAGTAGAGTAGATTGTCTCATAATGCGCTGTGGAGGCAACATGTGTGCGCCGACTCACGAAAACTGCTCTGTTTGCCTCGAAATATATTCAATAGAAAAGAATCAATCATTCGTTAATTTCTCTATTTCTTCACTTTTTTTTCAAAAGTTTGCCGGGCTGTATCCATATAAAAAAAGAAATAAAAAATATTTCACAACAAACGTAAACTATCGTCATGTTCTTTCAAAAAAAATCCAAATTGAAATGGGTTTTTTCCCATTCTGATGGAAGGAAGATTGTATATAAAATTGCCAGCTAAAAAGTATATATTTAGCACTCAATATATTGAGGTAGGTTCTTCTTCTGTTTACAACTCTTTTTACCAACCTCTTATTTCTTTTTCATACAAATAGATTGGCTAAATTTTCAAACAATGCCACGAAACCATAGCGTGAAGACTGTTAAAGCTGATTCCGACGTGGTGATTATTGAATCTGCTACACCTTCTCAGGTAGAAAAGGCATTAAAAGATGGGCATGGTGTTGCGAAATCAGGTGGCGAATATTATATTATTATTGAGACTGGGAAAAGCAATAAGCCTTCGAGTAGTTCATCGTCGAAGAAAAAATGAAACAATTGGCAACGTCATAGAAATCGAAATCAAGAAAGAAATCACAACAGTCATTTTATTTTATCTTGTAATTATTTTTTCATGCATTCTGTAATTAAAAATGCACAAACAATTCTAGATGAACTGTTTCTACTTTCATGCGATATTTATTTAACCCTCTACCCATGTTAGGGCCTAAAGGGACAAATGATTTTGAAAACAAGTTGCTTATAAAGAATGAAAAGCAATTAAAGCAAAGAACAAAACATGAAGCATATAAAACTGTGGGCATAGATAACGTGAGTTATGAGCGATGGCTTGCCGAGTCGAACCATTTTGGTATACGAGTGGGATGCATAGACCATCGACGAACGAGTAGCTTGCGACGTGTAGAACAGAACAGAGTTATATAAACATGGTGCTGTGGGAGGGAAGGCTCGAGCACGATGCTTATTCTTGAGAATCCAACATATTACCGTTGCGCCAATCCCCCCCCCCCCCCCACATGAACTGTTTCTTCATGTGCATTATATATTCGATTATCTTTGTCAAGAAAATTATGTTATATGAGCACATCTTGAAATCTTTTGACCAGTTGAAACACTTGAACCATCTGTTTCGTCGCTTATCATTCTTACTCATACGCTTGAATTCCTTTTTCACTATTTTTGTTTTTTATTCAAGCATGTATTATATACTTGGATGCTAGAAATGTATTGTTATCAGTATGTTGATATTAATTGAGGATGCTCAACATATTAAGCAAATGTGTGGCATTGAAATTCGGCGCATTCAAGTGAAACTACACTTGGCCTTGATCTACATAGGGTTTTGCCGCTTTTTCAATGAACACAAGTGCGATGAGGCCTAGGAGTGTGCTTCGCATGGTTGCTAAATTTTTTTAGATTAAACACAACACCAGATAAGAAGAGGACTTCATATTCGTCTTCAAACTCACTCCATTCAGCGACTTCAGCGAAAGAGCAGTATTTTTGATAATTTTTGAAAAAAACATGGTAATATTGTTATCACATACTAGTGTAAATGACTCATTGAATGTATAAAAAGCAAAGAAATCAATAACTTGTATTCTTGGTATACAGTAAAGATCGATTTTTTATAATATTGCCATCAGAAAGAATGAATCATACATGATTGAATGTAAACTTCACCATCGTATAGAACTAAAAAAAAAACGTGCCAATAAGTTTACTACTCGAAAGTTACGGTATTGCTCAATCGTTAAGAAAAAATTACCACTTCATGAGTAATTACAGACGTAGAAGTTTGCATTGGTCGATTTCAAACAACTCCAGAATAACTATATCTAATGTACATTACACAGTAGGAAATATATAATACCACTTCATGAAACGATCTATAAGCATTTTGTTATTATTATTATTATTATTATTATCATTCGATAAGAAAACAGAATTTAATTAAATTTGACAAATTCTAATTTTATGATGAAAAAGAAGTTTAACACATCTCATGTGTTTTCATGTACAAAAATTTTCAATATACAAGTGATATTCTATATTCAACTTCCTATGCTCTTTATAGGAATGGTCAAAATCAAAAATGAACTTGTTTGTGGATGAAAAATTTTCGATGCTACTTAATATTACAAAGAGTATTGGGCAAAATAGTATCATCGTAATAAATATCTTAATTAGTCCCCTTGCTCTGATGTTTCTTGCCAGTCTTCGTCTAATCATCACACTCACTACGGTTTGTATGAAATCAACCAAACATTCATGAATATCGCTTATTGATTATCATATTTCAATTGCTTCTCATATTTTCTTGTTCTTCACCATTCTTCTTCCTTGGTATTGACAGTGCTATTGGACCTAATAGTGAGAGGTTTTTATTTGAAGAACAAAGAAGTTATGGAACATTCGTATCGATGGATAGAAACAATTTATGTTGCATGTTCGCTCGTTTTCTCATCAAAAAGATAATTACAGTAGTCTAGGCGCAAATTATGACTGCTATGCAATTTTCAATCACCTTGACAGTGTTTGCGCTGAAATCCTAAAGTATCCAAATAGCTCAGTCATAAATAGAACATCGTATGAGTGCCCATCAAGTTGTGGGTGTGAGTGTGGGTATCGATGTGATAATATTCGATTCCACACTCACAACCAAAAAATAGAACAGAAAAATGCCTAGCGCGTATCTTGAAAGTGAGGAAAAATAAGTGAGGTAACGATGAATATCAATCAAAGAATACATATACGGAAATACGAAACATCAGAGTATTTACTGTGTAACGAAAACTCGGCTAAAATCTGGGATTTGCACAGTCATTTGAGAAAAAAGAGGACTTACGAAAAAATATTTTGAAGGATAGTTTTCAAGAAAAAAAAGGATGAGGAAATGAGGATTTCGTTTTTGCTATGAAAGAGTACCGCTCGGTCTCAGACATGCAAGTATGTGAAGAATAAGACTGAGCGCTCATAATTTCTTTTTCTGAGGCAAGGTATCTTTCATCTTAAGAAACGTCAACGAGACCTCATATGTGTTTCTCAATGAAAGGAAGAATGTTTTGTTAAGGAAAACTGATTAGTTAAACGCGAAACCTATAAGCATTCTGAAAAATGTGAGATAGATACTTTTGAGGTAATAATGATAGGTGCACATTTCTAGTCGACAGATGATAAGACAAGATACGTGCTAGAATTTTTAACCAATTCTTATTTACCTATTTCATTCACAAAAAAGGGAGGTGAAAGTAGGTGTGGGTGCAGACGGGACAAGACTTACATGGATACCTACATTCAATTGGTCTGATCAATACCTTTCGTAAAAATTATATGTATTATAATGGTGCGAGTTATACTTATTGGGAACTTACGTTTTCAACAATAAACAACACGACTTAGTAAAAGTCTCACTATATCTATCAAGGTCAGCAGAAAAATTCAAAAAGAAATTTTCGTATTTACACCGAAACATAGAAGAATGCTATTTATTTCGTAGTTTTTTGTCATATTGAGATTCATGAAGAAATTATCATTCAATGTTCATGATTCATTAAGAATTATCACATCGAATTAAACGAATATTATTCATACAAGAAGTTCATGTATAAATATTCAAATGGTGAAAAACAAAAGATTCGTATCGTCAGTGATAAAAAAAAGATCATAACCAAATGGCCTATTTTCATTGCATATCAAGTTCCATATACGTATGATAAACGATAAATTCATTAACAGTTTCTGATGGTAGAAAAGTATTTTCTGTTAAATATTCTACAATTTCATCACTGTTTTACATGTTCTCTCTCGATCAACATCAACTAAACGTGTTATAACCATAGAATGAAAATGTTTTTCATCTAGTTATTCTAATGCATTATACGATATATGTAAGCGAAATTTACGATTTGATTGACAAACATTTCGAAGTTTGTTTAGTTTGTTTCCTTCACGATCGTTTTTCACCAATACTTTACAATGAAATTCGAAATAATACGGTTTTTGACTCCAAAATAGTCTTCAATCAATATCTGTTTGTGGTACACCTTCACTTGATGCTAATGTTTTAATTTTAATATGTATAATATTAAACTGTTTAAAATGTTCATGTACTTTTTCCTCGATTTGTTTAACTATTGATGAATATTCATCACAATAAGATGATGATGTTATTAATTGTACATTTTCATCTTCTAGTTGTTATGTAACCGAGTCAATAAGTATAATTTTATATTTTGTATTTTCACATGTTTTTTTTTTCAGTTTTTTCAACAATTTGTTCAGTATTATGTGAACAATCAAATGTACCTTTAACAACATTTGCCAGTACAAGTGTATTTAATTTTGTTTTATATTCAGTACTTAACTTATCAAAATAATTGAAAACACTAAAAAAAACATAATTCATTTTTCGAAATCAAGATTTAGTGTTTTTTTTAAAAAACTTACGCGTCCATATTTGAACTATCTGATGTTTCATAATGTATGTCTTTCATTTCATCAAATATATGTGTTAAATGTTTATAATCATGTATTGAATGTGTTTGAATTAATTGTTCAGCAAAATCTAAATATCTAAAACCATGAAACAAATTTTTGAATAAATAATCTTCCTTTGATTGATTTAATATTGAACTATGTTTTGGATAATTTGAGTTACTATTTGAATTGAAGATTTTCATAAAATGTAACTTTTTTAATCGAAATTTATCATAATATTTTTCAAGATAAATTGATTGAAAATCAATTGCTTCTTTGATTTCAAATTTATTAGGTTAAAATATACGTTCAATAGCTAATAAATAATTTTTTTTGTAAAAGTATTTCAAACTTTTCCACACTATGAACACAAACATCATATTTATTCCATAATTTATATAATTCAAATTGGTGAAAATAATCGACATCAGGATCAAATTTTAATGAAGCTTTATCAGGTGATCGAGTTACAATCATACGATCTCGATCAGATGCAAAATTTATTGGTACCATATACCCCATGAACCATTGTTATAAATGGTCGCCACAGAGTTTTCATTTAAATTGAGCTCATGTAAAATCAATGAAATATAAGAACGATTCATTTTATGTAAGTTATTTGTAATGCATTGAATGTTTTCATCAAGTCATTGATTTATATGAAATGATGTCAAAGTGTTGAGTCAGTTTTATGCAATTCACATGTGTCGATGTGTGACTTCGTTAACGTGATTCTTGAGTATGCTGCAATAAGAAGCAAGAAAAAAGAGAAAGAATGAAATATTCAAATAATAACTCCGTTACTTTGAACATTAACGTCAAGTTAATCACTTCCTATCTATCTAGATAAACATATAGCAATCAAAGTAAATCTTCGACTTGAAATATAAAGTTTTAAGGAGTTTTTTCTACTCAGCAACTTAAAAAAATGAAAACAAAATACTATCATGGCTGTATGTGTGAATGTGAATGATAAGAAAAAAGCTACCCACACCCTTTATCTTAAATAATGAAGCAGAAATACATTGAAATATAAAAGAATGTTTATATAGTTGACATCGTGAGCATACCTTAAGATTAGAGTTCAGCGACAAGTTATTCGAGAGAATTTTAATTAGACGTAAAAACTTTGCTTAACGAACTACTTTTTTTTTTCGTTCATACATATGTTATAGTAGGCGGTTGAACAAATAGCTGATTCTAATATTCGAAATTGAATATAAATTTAAGAGAAAATATTGAAAATATTTTTCATAAAATGTTTCGACAAGAGCAAGCATTTACTGCGCAGATAAAAGATTTCCAACATTTAAATGTATATAACGAATACCATATTAAATTCACTTGTTATTCAAAATTGAATAAAGACAACTTTTCGGAGTAATTTGATTTCAGTATGAAAGTAAATGATAGTAATATAAGTTCCGTTGTACATTATGATTTCTTCAGTACTGTTCATAAAACGAAAGAAAAACTACACATATGATATCGAATAGAATAAGTCTCGAAGTAGATCATACAAAATATTGGCTTGGATAAAAGAACCTTTGAAAGAAGAGTAAATTCGTGAAATTCATTCAAATGTTGTTTATTCATTTGAAAGGAATGTTATTCTTTAACAATTTTGAAATAATATCAACATATCAATGGATTCTAAAAAATTGAATTAGTCTGTTAATGAAACCTCGATTTATTCATTTTTCAAAAAATTTCTCAAAAACTCAATAATCTATTATATTCTTTTTGTCTAAGTCAGATTTTAGTCAAATGAATGAAAATACTTTAGAAAATGATTTCAACTCAACTTGAAAATCATCGATTAGGAATTCTAAATTTTCATTCTTCCAATTCTACTTTTGTAGTAGTCTATGATTCAGCTATTGATTAAGAAGAACGCAAACGCAAATATTTATCTGAATCATATTCTTTTAAATTTCAATACAACAAAGCCTAAATTCGAGTTCATTGTATTTTTTTTTAAATATCTCTTTTTAAAACATCTGGTATGGACCGATAATGGATTGTTCAACTTCATTGAAGAAAGTCTAACTGGATAAAACAACTTAGAATAAAATCAATACAATAATTGAAATAATGGCTTTATCGAATAAAAATCGATTGAAATTTAATCAAGTTTAATTGATTGTTAAAGTAATTGCACTATCTCTATTAGAAACAATTCATATGGGAGTTTCAAAATTGTTATGTTTGCATAAGTCTGATTCAATTGCAATTTGACACTTTCTAAACACAAGGAATCCAAATAATTACGTAAGAAAGGTAATAAATGGAAAACTTGACACACTATTAATATTAATCTCTGTAATATCTTACTCTTACAACATTCGAAGAGTCTAAACGGTAAACAGGAGCAATTCTCGCTTATCTGATTAATTTTTAATTGAGCACTCACAATCTGCATATGCTGATCGATTAAACGCGATTCGTGTAAACCAAAATCTTCAGTATTGCCATTGTTAGTAACTCATTGCAGAAATCGTAGGTTTTCATATTTTGGAATTGGTTCCTCATTGATTTTTTGGGTTTGAGATTCCATTTCCTTTAATAATTCGAAATTTATCATATGATTTGAGGATACAGGTAATTGCAAAGGAATAGAAAATCTCATTAATCAATTCTTTGTGTAAAGATTGGCAAAAGAAACCCGGTAAACTGTTTTTTTAAATTATTCTCGAATAAAAAAAAATGAACTTTTCATATTCTGTTAAGACTCATAACAAAAAAAGTAGAAATACTTCAAGTAAACTATGGTCGAAGTATTTCACCTTTGAAGGTTGTTTGTTTTCCTAGATTTTCACGTAATAAACCTGGAAAAGTATTCATCTGTTAAAATTTGAGGAAAAACTCATACTTTTAAAGTATGAATGTCTTACGACACGAGCAGATCATCTAAGATCCTATATAATCGCTGATTATCTCTATATGGCGAATTGCTGATATTCGATCGGAACGTAAGGTGAAAATTTGGAAAGTTTCCTCAAAGTTATCCGATGATGTTATTAGAAAAGTGAAATGAGAGCGAAGCCTTCAACAATAACAAAGTAAAATATTGATAGAATTTGACTATTGATTATCGAAAGCTTTATGCAAATGCATGCCACAGAGTTATGGTCTGTATTTACGAAATCAATTTAGAACAATAACTTTATTGGTTTTTAGATCAGGATATGAGTGTGGTTTTATTTATATGCATTATCAACACTTACATCCACATCTATTAGAGAGATCGTTCTCGCTGAGTAGTACTCGAAGACAGTCGAACTATGCGAACGCGTCTAAGAAATGCGATAGAAATAGGTGAATTCTTGCGTGAGTAACCGGATTCGAATGAGACTGATGCTTAAGCAAAGTATTTTTTTTCTGATTCTGTGATGAAAATGAAAGCTTCATCCAAGTGTTAAAGCAGTGCTGCTGACAAGATCGATCATTTTAGTAATTAAGTATTGCGACAGAAAAACAAGCAAAAAATACATATATTTTGTGACTATATACACATAAGGTTTTTTTCTTTTCTATACAAATTTGCTCCATAACGTATATATGTTCTTGCAGTAACGAATACAATATAATAAGTTACTCTGTAGTTCTTTAGAGAAGCAAAAGATGGTGCACAGTATGCACCTCTACTCGTGAAGTCGGCTCTTTTTTGCATCTATCACATAACTTGCGACGTATCACTCGTTGTGCGGCACACAGTCAAAATTAATTGCTTTACTTTCGTTCTCCTCTTTGGAAAAAGTACTATAGATGTGCAACGAAATGAATAGGAAAGTTAAAGGAAAGATATCAATTATTCGTCATCTACAACTAAAGAGTCAGTAATCAGCACTGGGTATGTTGAACAATGAAACTCAATATACTTCACAACATTCATTCACTAACAATCTATTGTGATATCAACCATTTTGAACTGATAGGAAGTACAGTACAGTCTTCTCTTTATGCAACATATCTATTGAACTTTAGAGCAAATATTTCTCTACAAAATAGTTTATTAGATTTAGATACAAATTTTGATGGAAAATAATTGAAGCTTTGGTTAAAACAAACTTCCCATTAAAACAAACTTCCCATTAAAACAATCATACTTTTCGAGTTGGTCAGGATGAAATTTTGAATCTGATCCGTTTATAAAGACATACCGAGTTTCATTTCTATCGAAACAAATTTTTGGAATGTTTTCGACTTTGAAATGGTTATTTAGAAAATTTATACAAAGTAGATAGTAAAATATTGTTGATAATTACTAGGTGTTTATGAAATTTTCGACAAAAACAAAGTTTTTTTTTCTTGATACACTGGGTGTGCTAAATAGATAGCCATTGATCTTAGAAAGGACACAGCTATTCAATCTTATCCTTTGAAATGAAGACGATTGAATGAACTTCCAAATAATAAGAGAATATAAGTTAATTTTAGGTTGTTTTTTTTTTCTATTTTTAAACATTGAGTTTCTCTAACATCATCATCTATGATTTGAATGAATTTTACTGTGTATAACGAGAGAGACAGAGATTCCATAGTATCCTCAGAAAGTGTTCTGATACAACTTCTGGTTCGTTTAATTGTTACCGTAGCATTGAGCATTCGATGAAAGAAGAAATTTATATTGAATGTTTTCTAAAACTTTCAGAGTCTTTCGGATTCATTTCGAATCATAAATTCAATGCTATCGTTCATTTTAACGCTCTTCTTCCTTTCACGTACAACTCATCGGATTGTAATATTTTAGCTTACTTTCTACATATATGTAATCATTCAATGGCGAGGTTAACCAAGATGGACACCGATCATTGATTTCTCATCGATTTTGTTTGCTTGTCCTTTACCAGATGCTTTTATATTCGATAATTGTCGATATAATGACGCCTTCTATTTTCTATATACGAAAGTAATCAACTTGCAGTCGCTGCTGTTGCGTTCTTTGTGTAGTTCGAATTCTATTCATATGTGAATGATTGAGAAGAAAAGAGAGCAGCAAAATAATAATCGTAGATGCAATTATTTATCGCTTTGCACTCAATTAGTGAGAGTCAAGCTTGGTGGCAACTAAACTGAAAGACAGAACACGAACAACAAGTAAGACAAATCTGAGAAAATATATGAGGATGAAAACGATATAATTCAAAAAAACCATGAAATTATAACAAACATCTCCCTTTGCAGATCAACGTAAGTTAAGATAGAAAACTTATATGCACTATATTCAGCAGTTAACAGTATACATAAAAATACGAATATTATGCAATATCCTTTGTATATCAATTATAGTTCTATAAAGTTTCGATAATCGGAATTTGCTTATCTCAATTTCGACTATTTCAAAGCAGATAGAACTATATTCAATCAGTTCTTGTTGTGAAAGAATTATTTTCACTCAACATGTGGCCAGACGTGTACGTGTTTGTTGTTTTTGTTAGTTACGTAGAAGTGATTGTCGAATATAGTTGTACTCAGTTTAGATGAAGCCACTGATAGATCATTGTCGTAAAAATCTCCAA